ATGACATTAATAGACCATCAGGGCGTTATGCTTAAGGAAATAAGCCAAGCACAAAAAGACAACTGTGTGATTCTACTTAATGAGATATCTAAAGTAGTCAAAATTTATAGAAACAGAAAGTAGAATGATGGTTATTAGGATCTGGGGAGAAGGAGGAAAGGGAAGTTCGTGTTTCATGGGTACAGAGTTTCAGTTCTGCTAGATGAAAAAGTTTGTCACGACTGAGTAATGAATTTGATTCTAAACTCACTGATAAATACAGGAGATAATGGACTAACACAATGAATATGAAATTTTGACCAAATTATCGAAGGCTAATTGTCTGAATAGAGATTAGGGTGGAAATCTTTGAATCACAGAGTTAAAAATGTTTTTTTTCCAACTCCTCTTGCCATTTTAGTAAACAATACATACTGAAAATGCAGGTAGGACTTTTTTATACTAGAGAACTGATTAGGACATGGTTAAACACAATTGTTACTGTTGGCTAATTTATGTGGAATCAATTGTTTCCAATCAGCTTTTCATTTCTAAAAAGACTGATAAAGAGCAAAATAGTGACTCTTTCCATTTTGCTTAGTTAGGAACAGTAAGCTGTTTCACTTTATTTTCCAGTTTGTACTAATGCTCCAGCCCAGAAAGTCTCATTTAGATCCATTAAGGCTTATTAATAATAAGTCATCCTGCCTTTAAGGTTAATTAAATGACTTGAACTAATACTTAACACTATGGACTGTGAGGAGAATGTAGATGAAGTAGATTGGTTAGTCACATACGACCAGTTACTCACATTTTTTTAAACTTAAATGTTTACACTTTTTATTATTTAAAATGTCAACCATATACTAAAGTGAAGCAGATGACACAGTGAATTCCTTAGTCATGCATTACCTAATGACAAGGATATATTCTGAGAAATGCATTGTTAGACAATTTCATTACCATGCAAACAAAGAGTCTACACCAATCTAGATATTGTAGTCTGCTACATACCTAGAAAATATATAACATATTGCTACTAGGCTACATACCTGTATAGCATGTTACTGTACTGAATGCTATAGGCAATTATAATGCAATAAATATCTGCATATCTAAACATAGGAAAGTTACAGTAAAATACGGTATAAAAGATAAAAAATGATACACTAAGTGGCACTTACTATGAATGGAGCTTGCAAAACTGGAAGCTGCTCTGGGTGTCAGCGAGTAAGTGGTAAGTGAATATGAAGACCCAGGATATTCTTGTACCCCACTGTAGACTTTATAAACACTGTACACTTAGGTTACAATAAATTTATTTACAATTTTTTCTTTCTTCAATAATAAATTAACCTTAGCTTTCTATAATTTTTTACTTTATAAACTTTACAATTTTTTAAACTCTTGTAAACACTTAGCTTAAAACACAAATATATTGCACACTGCACAAAAATATTTTCTTTCATTTTTATTCCATAAGCTCTTATCCATTTTTATTTTTATTTTATTTTTATTGAGGCAGAGTCTCGCTCTGTCATCCAGGCTGGAGTGCAATGGTGTGATCTCAGCTCATGGCAACCTCCATCTCCCGGGTTTAAGTGATTCTCATACCTCAGCCTCCCGAGTAGCTGGGATTACAGACACGTGCCACCACACCCAGCTAATTTTTTTATTTTTTTATTTTTTGTAGAGATAGGGTTTTGCTATGTTGGCCAGCCTGGTCTTGAACTCCTGGCTTCAAGTGGCCCACCCACCTCGGCCTCCCAAAGTGTTGGGATTACAGGCATGAATCACCACACCCAGCCTATTTTTTAAAACTTTTAAATCATTTTTGTTAAAAACTAAAACACAAACATATATGGTAGCCTAGGCTTATATGGGGTCAGGGTTACCAATATTACTGACTTCCACCTCCACATCTTGTTCCATTAAAAGTTCTTTTTTTGTTTTTTTTTTTTTTTTGGACAGGGTCTCGCTCTGTCACACAGGCTGGAGTGCAGTGGCACAATTAAAGCTCACTGCAACCTGGAATTCCTGGGCTCAAATGATACTCCTGCCTTAACCTTCCAAGCATCTACAACTACAGGCATGTGCCACCATGCCCAGCTAGTTTTTTAAAAAATTGTTTTGCAGAGATAGGGTCTTGCTATGTTCAGGCTGGTCTTGAACTTCTGCCTCAAGGAATCCTCCCACCTTGGCCTCCCAAAGGGCAGGGAATACAGATGTGAGCCATCACAATGGGCCTCCCACCGAAAGTTCTTTAGGGGCAATAACACATATAGAGGTTTCACATCCTATAACAATGGCTTCCTCTGGAATACCTCCCTGAAGGACCTGCCTAAAGTTGTTTTACAGTTAAGTTTATTTTTTAAGCAGAAAGTATACACTCTGAAATAATGATAAATAGTATAGTAAATACATAAACTAGTGACATTGTCATTTATTATTATTACATACTATACATAACTTTATGTGCTACACTTTTATATAACTGGCAGTATAATAGTTTGTTTACACAGGCATCACCACAAACACATGAGTAATACATTGCATTATGACAGGATGATGTCACCAGGTAAAAGGAATTTTTCAGCTGCATTATAGCCTAATGGGACGAGCATTCTAAATGCAGGCTGCCACTTACTGAAACATCGCTACATAGTACAGGACTGTACACATCACTCAGCTTCAAAGAAAATCAACTCATGCCAATTTTGCTTCATATGCATCTCACTCACCCCCAGATTATTTTGAAGTAAAACCCAGACATCCTATCAATTCAGCTGAGATATTACTTACTTTCAGAAAGGACAAATGACAATCAAGAGTCCAGCCCAGGCCGGGCACAGTGGTTCATGCCTGTTATCCTACCACTGTGAGAGGCCGAGGCGGTCAGATCGCCTGAGGTCAGGCATTCAAGACCAGCCTGGCCAGCATGATGAAACCCCATCTCTACTCAAAATACAAAAATTAGCCAGGCATGGTAGCACATGCCTGTAATCCCAGCTACCCAGGAGGCTGAGGCAGGAGAATCGCTGAAACCCAGAAGGTGAAGGTTGCAGTAAGCAAATCATGCCACTGCACTCCAGCCTGGGTGACAGAACAAGACTCCATTTCAAAAAAAAAAAAAGCCAGTCCAGAAACAAATACATCAGTTCACATGATAAAAGTGTAATAAGGTTGAATGTTAAAAGTATATTAAAGAGTCATTAATGAAATTAGTACCGTTTTCAGTGGACATTATTGTAGGTTCTTACAGAGGTCCCCAAACATTGAGAGTGGTATGCTCAGACCCAAAATCCAACCACAGCTCCATCAGAAGCCTGTGAATATGTACAAAAGTACACAGGGCCTATTTTTAGTCTAGTAGCTCAGGGTACCTTTCCTCCTAATCTTTTTCTCACTAGGCTTGGGACTGTGCCAGAAGGGCCGTATTACATCATTCCCTTTGACTTGTCAGTTCTGCAAGGTCCTACTTAAAGCAGAACAAACAGGATACTATTAATCATGAGCAATTCAACTTTTAAAAATAACTTTATTATCATCACAAAAGCAACATAAATTCATTATAGACAATACAGAAGATCCAAAATCCCAAAGAAGAACATAAAAAGCACCTACAATAGCATTTCCCCATTTCTCTAGGCACATATATACTATCGTTTCATAAACATGAGATCATATTTTTCATACTCTCTTTAATCTGTTTTATTACTTCATAATATATAGTAAATATACTTCCATATGATTAAATAATCTTCCTCAATATAAGCTTTTATTTTTGCTAATCATGTGTAAGGAAGGATAGTAATTAATGTCTTTTGGGGACATTTAGATTATTCCCTCTTAGATACACCTTCAGTGTTTATTTCCTTAGAAAATAATCATAGGAAAGAAATACAGACATACTTCAGGATATTACAGGCTTGGTTTCAGACCACCCCAATAAAGTGAATATTGCAATAAAATGAGTCACACAAATTTTTTGGTTTCCCAGTGCTTATAAAAGTTATGTTTAGACAATTCTGTCATCTATTCAGTGTGTAATAGCATTATGTCTAAAAATTGTATATACCTTAATTTAGAAAATACTTTATTACAGCTGGACATGGTGGCTCATGCCTATAATCCCAGTACTTAGGGAGGCTGAGGCAGGAAGATCACCTGAGGTCAGGAGTTCAAGACCAGCCTGGCCAACATGGTGAAACTCCATCTCTAATAAAAATATAAAAATTTGCCATGGTGGCACACACCTGTAATCCCAGCTACTTGGGAGGCTGAGGCAGAAGAATCACTTGAACCTGGGAGGTGGAGGTTGCAGTGAGCTGAGATCACACCATTGCACTCCAGCCTGGGTGACAAAGAAACTAAACAAAAAAAAAAATAAAAAAAAAAAAAAAAAAGCTAATGATCTTCAGAGCTTCCAGCAAATAGTAATCTTTTTGCTGATGGAGGGTCTTGTCCCATGCTGACGGCTGCTGACTGATCAGTGTGGTAGTTGCTGAAGGCTGTAGCGGCTGTTGCAAATTTTTTTTTTTTTAATCTGTTGTTTAGTGTAGTCACCTTTATCAAACGTCTTAGCTACATCTTCTGGATAACCTGCTGTAGCTTCTACGTCAGCACTTGCTGCTTCATCTTGCACTTTTATGTTATGGACACAGCTTCTTTTGGTAAACCTCATTAACCAACCTCTGCTAGCTTCAAACTTTTCTTCTGCAGTTTCCTTACCTCTCTTAGACTTGACAGAATTGAGAACCAGGACATTGCCCTGGCCTAGGCTTTGGCTTAAGGGAATGCTTTTTAAATATGGTTTTTGCTTTGTTTTAGAGACAGGGTCTCACTCTGTCACCCAGTTTAGAGTGCAGTGGTGCAACGATGGCGCAACGACAGCTCATTGTAATCTGGAACTCCTGGGCTCAAGTGAGCCTCTTGCCTCAGCCTCCCAAGTAGCTAGGACTACAGGTACACACCACTACACCTGGCTAATGAAAACATTTTTTCTTTAAAGACATGGGGTCTTGCTATATTGCCCAGGCTGGTCTTGAAGTCTTGGCCTCAAGTGATCCTCCTGCCTCAGTCTTTCAAAGTGCTGAGATTACAGACATGAGGCACTGTGTCTGGTTTAAGGGAGTGTTGTGGCTTGCTTGATCTTCTACCCAGACCATTAAAACTTTCTCCAGGTCAGCAACAAGGCTGTTTTGCTTTATCATTCCTATGTTCCCTGGAGTAGCACTTTTAATTTCCTTCAAGAAGTTTTTCTTCTTTGCATTCATAACTTGGCTAACTGGCACAAAAGGCCTAGCTTTTGGCCTATCTTGACTTTCAACATGCCTTCCTCACTTAGTTTAATCACTTCTAGCTTTTTATTTAAAGTGAGAGATGGGATTCTTCCTTTCACTTGACACTTAAAGGCGACTGTTGGGTTACTCATAGGCCTAATTTCAATATTGTTGCATTTCAGGGGATAAGGAGGCCCAAAGAGAGGGAAAGAGACAGAGGAATTGCCAGTCGATTGAATAGTTAGAACACACATACCATTTATTGCCTAAGTTCTCCATCTTACATGGATGTGGTACATGAAACCCCAAAACAAGTACAAAGACCACTGATCACAGACCGTCATAACAGATATGCTAATAAGAAAAAAGTTTCAAATATTTAAACTACCTGTAAGGCCGGTTGCCTCGTCGGGAGATCGGACACACCCACCTCTGCACTCAGCACCTGACTCTGCACCCGGCACCAGGCTCTGCACTCGGCACCTAGCTTTGCTGCATGGCTCCCCCTGGAAGGCTCCGGCTAATGCAACCCTGGCTGGCTCTCGCACAGGAAAACCCATCCAACAACCCACCAACCAATGGCGGCCCACCCCGTCTCAATCCTGCTCCCCCCCACCACCCCGGACCCAATCAGAGCACCCAGCTGTTGCTCAGTCCTCCTAGCCATAAACCGCACCCCCCACCCCCGCTTTCCCTGGACTAGAGAACCTCGCCCAGGAGCTGAATAAATTGGTATTTAATTTTCTTATACTGGCCTCAGTTTCCTCATTTTAAACTCGGCAATGACCCTTACATTACCAAAATGTGATACAGAGCCATGAAGTGAGCGTATGCTCACATCAAAGACCACTGATCACAGACCATCATAACAGATTTGCTAATAACAGTTTCAAATATTTTAAAATTACCAAAATGTGATACAGAGCCATGAAGTGAGCATATGGTATTGGAAAAAATGGTGCCAACAGACTTGCTCAACATAGGGTTACCACAAACCTTCGATTTAAAAAAAATGCACCAAATTATACTCCCTCAAGAGTGTATAACTGTACCTGTTTCTTACGTGCACACTTAGCAATATTATTTCTTGTAATTTAAAAACTTTTTAAGTTTCTTAGATGAAAACATGCACCTTTTTTGAGACAGGATTTCACTCCTGTCAGCCAGGTGAGAGTACAACGGCAGGATCTCGGCTCACTGCTACCTCTGCCTCCCAGCCTCAAGCAATTCTCCTGCCTTAGCCTCAAGAGGCAGGAGAGTTGGGACCACAGGCGTATGCCACGGCACCTGGCTAATCTTTTGTCGAGACAAGGTTTTGCCATGTTCCCCAGGCTGGTCTCAAACACCTGGGCTCAAGTGATTTGCCCACTTTGGGATTACAGGCGTGTAAGTACTGAAAGCGCTGGGATTACAGGCGTTATTACCCTGCCCAGCCCCCTATTAACTTTTATCAGCTTGATCTTACAACAGAATCCAAAAATTTTGACTAGAGTGGTGGGGGAAAAGGGTAGAAAAAGGAGAAGGAAGGCCTAAGGCATGGGAATTGTTAGTATATTTTATAAAATGAAGTTAAAATACCGTATTTGAAAGTTGAAGCCAGGCATGGTGGTTCATACCTGTTATCCTAGCACTTTCAGAGGCCGAGGCTGGGGGATCACTTGAGGCCAGGTGTTAGAGACTAGTCTGGCCATATGTTGAAACCCTGTCTCTACAAAAAATACAAAAACTAGCCAGGCATGGTGGTGCACACCTGTGGTCCCAGCTACTCAGGAGGCTGTGGCACAAGAATCACTTGAACCCAGGAGGCGGAAGTTGCAGTGAGGTGAGATTGCACCACGCCACTCCAGCCTGGGCCACAGAGCTGGGGTGGGGGTTGGGGAGAGAAAGTTGAAAAATCCAGTCAATAACATTTTTGTCACAATGGGGGAACTCTCAAGTACTGGGTTTTGGAGAGTCAGATATTTCATTTCCTCCCCTCCCAGGGAGAAAGACCTAGAGGTTTTCCCCTCTCCTACTCACTGTCCACAGCAATTACAATTTAGTTCAGCCCAGTTTAAAGACCATATGCTGTTGGAATAAGGGCACCAATAGACATACTTGATGTAGGGTTGCCATAACCTTATTTATTTATTTGAGATGAAGTCTCACTCTGCTGCCCAGGATGGAGCACAATGGTGTGATCTCCGCTCACTATAATCTCCGCCTCCCAGGTTCAAGTGATTCTCCTGCCTCAGTCTCCTGAGTGGCTGGGACTACAGGTGTGTGCCACCACACCCAGCTAACTTCTGCATTTTTTTTTTTTTTTTTTTTTTTTTTTAGTAGAGATGGGGGTTTCTCCATATTGGTCAGGCTGGTCTCAAGCTCCTGACTTCATGATCTGCCTGCTTCAGCCTCCGAAAGGGCTGGAATTACAGGCATGAACCACCACACCTGGCCAAACCTTAAATTTAAAAAAAAAGCACACTGGACTTGTAGAAAGAAGACCAGTTCTCAGGCCATGTGACTTCAGGCACATCTACCACACTTGTTCTGCTTCCTCACTTAAGAAAGTGAAAATAATATCACACTGATATTACCCACCTTGAACGTTTACTATGAATTAAATCAAGACACGCATTTGAAATTATTTTGTTAATCTTAAATGCTACACAGGAGTGTGGCAGGTGAATTAGATTCTAAAGTCAGCAATTAATGTTAAAACTGAGCACCATAAAAATTGCTTACAAGTTCCTTAAATTGCCCATGAGCACAGTATGACAGACTTAAGAGACCCCTGAGAACAAAGACTCTCTGAGAGCTGAGACACTCAGTAACACTGCCAGCAGAATTGCTGTGCTAGAATATTTTCATTTCCTCTCTTTCTGCCAAGTGCATAACTGAATCCGAGTAAGATGAAAGTATGATGCAACTTTGTTATTCTACAATTTTATTTTATACTGGCAAGTTAAGAAACTTCTCTGGTGTAGCTAAGCTGGACCAGGGTTTCATCCACTGTTTGTCTGACAAATATTTCCAGCTTACTAGGTTCCAGGCTGCTTTGCTGAACTAGGGGAGGGTAGACGCCAAGGAGGCAGTCTGATCACAACAGGCTGGTGAGTGGTGAGGCAGTTTCAACTTCGATTTGAGGAATCCAGGGTTCTATGATAACCTTTTAGGGAATACAGTGAATGTTTAGAAAAATTATGGAAAGCTACATATTTTGTTTTGGATAACAGCTACAATGCTATATCTGATACGAAGTAAGTTACTTTGTTTCCTTTTTTCTGTTTATGTTGCTACTTTTTTTTTTGAGACATTGTCGCATTGTTGCCCAGGCTGGAAGAGTGGCCGGATCTTGGCTCACTGCAACCTCCGCCTCTCAGGTTCAAGCTATTCTCTTGCCTTAGCCTCCCGAATAATTGGGATTGCAGACATCTGCCACCACGCCTGGTTAATTTTTGTAGCCGGGCGTGGTGGCAGGTGCCTGTAATTCAGTAAAGACTGGGTTTCACCATATTGGCTAGGCTGGTTTTGTGCTCCTTACCTCAAGGCCTGCCTCAGCCTCCCAAAATGCTGGGATTACAGGTGTTAGCCACCGCACCCTACCTATGTTGCTACTTTTTAATGTGAGTTCACATATTTTTAAACTTGACTTTTTAATTGAAAAATACAAACACATGGAAAAATTCAAACTGTACCAAAAAGGTAAACAATGAAAAGCAAATATTTCTATTCTAGACTCCCTCTTCGCCCATTCCATACCATATCCCCTCGACCCTCCTCCTATTCAGAGGTTACCACCGGGTCAATCCGAAGTTATAGTTAAGGTGATACCTGGGGTCCAAAAGCTAAGTATGGATCTATGGTATCACCAGTTCCTTCCAGTTCTAAAACTAAGTCCAAGCCTTTTGCAGCACGAAAGAGACCACCTCTTCTTATCTAAAGTTTAGTTGATAGAGGCGCAGACAAATGCAAAACGGATTCCAAAGAAACAGACTCAGAACTCCTGAAAGGCAGGAGACACAGAACTCAATACTTCCATGGTGAGTGGTTTATTTACAGAGTACATAAACGCTCCCTTTGGGATGTAAGCTCCATACAGGCAGGAACTTCAGCATCACCTCTAACTGTAGACCCCGGCCCGAAAGGCGGTCACAAAGTAAAAGCACCTACAGCTCACCACAGCCACAGCGGCCGGCAGCCCAGAGTGGGAATCCGCGCAGGGCGTCACGTGACTCTAGCTCCCCTCCACCCGGCGTCCGGCCCGCCCCTACCGAGTCCCCGCCAATCCGGAAGGGAGGTCCGATTTGGCCGGGCCAGGGCGCGTTCCACAGGCCCAGTCGCCTCACTGCTGCATTATCAGTGGACTCGCCCCACGTGCCTCGGAGTCTCAAACGGTTGCCCAGATCCGCCCAGCAGAACCCTGCAGACTGCTAGGGAGAGGAGCAAGGGCGGGGCCAGCGCTGGAGTGTGGACGCAGCGCAGCGGCCCCGGGCGAGGCTTAGGGCGGAGCTTCAGGGAACAGCCGGGGGAGGACAGGAGTCTCCAGAGCGCGCGCGCCAGCCCTCCCCGGCCCGACCCACGCGGCGCGGCGTGGTGACGCCCGCGCGGCCTGAGGAAGGGGCGGGGTCGAGGCGGGCCTCCGCGCTCCTCCCGCCCTCTCTGTGTCCCGACTCACCCTCCCCTTCCCTCCCCCACACTCGGCCCCGTCAGCGCGGGGGTGCCTTCGTCGCACAGCATCGCGTCGGCCCGGTCCGGCCAGGCCAGCGGGCAGATGCCCGGAGCTGCCGCCGCCGCGGCCGCCCACTCGGCCGGTGGCGGTGTGGGAGGCGGGCGCCCAGCCTGGGGCCGCTGAGTGTGACGAACGCGGCCAGGGACCCTGGGCCCCGGCGCCGGTGGCTCCGTGCGGACCATGTATTTTCTGAGCGGCTGGCCCAAGAGGCTGCTTTGCCCTCTGGGGAGCCCGGCCGAGGCGCCTTTCCACATTCAGTCCGACCCGCAGAGGGCTTTCTTCGCCGTGCTGGCCGCGGCCCGCCTCAGCATCTGGTACAGCCGAGTAAGTACAGCCGCCCGCCACCTTTCGCCGCTGCCTCCACGGCGTCCCGGTGCCGTCCCACCCCCAACTTCCACCCGGAGCCCTGGAACCCTGTCCTTCGTTGCCAGACTCACCTGCCCTCGCGTCCCCGTCCTGGTTCCTCCGACTTGGCCGCATGTACCCGCCGGCTCTGGGCACATGCTCCAGCCTGCGGTCCGGGATGGGTGAAGTAGCTGCTGTCGAAAATCCCTGCGCCTTCCGGCGTTGGACTGACAACCGCGCGCGGTGCAGACCCCGCACGCTCCCCGGCCGAGCCCAGACTTGCTCTTCCCTCCCTTCCCCCATTCCCCCAGGAACAAATTTGTTTAAACTTTCCACAATTAGAAATCCGGCCACTGCACTTTAAAGGTGGTTGTTTTCGAGTTAGGAAAAGCCTCTTGGGCTTTACCCAGCTCCAGACTTTACAGGCCTGTAAGAACTTATTTCTAGAAACTACAGCCTGAATTCTTTATTTTTCACTAAAAGTCAGGTTATTTAACTCCCCTTTTTAACCCCAACATCCCTTCCCTATTTCGAACTGGTCTTTTTCTTTGCTGCTGCTCTTGGACTCTTCGAAGTAGGGGGGGTAAAAAGGAGCGGAAGTAGAACTCAAATCTGTCCGCGCAACTCCCAGTTATAACACCTGGAAATAATAAGGCTTGGGAGGAGCCTGGAACTCAATTGTTATTGCTTTCTTTAAGCCCTGGTTATCTTTTTCTTTCTTGTATTGAATTGTGGAGTAGATAAGAGAAAAAATAAGTAGTGGTTGGGATACTCTCTACTCTGTGCAAATACTGCTGTAGATCTGTCTATAAGAACGACAGAGTTCAGAGTATAATAATACTTCTTTTCCCTCCCCAAAGAAGGCGGTACCAATCGATGTCAGAGTGAAGTTTTTCTCCTTTCCAGCTTAATTTGACCATGTGAAGAAAGGTTGTGACCTTGCCCTTATTAAATCTTTGTGAAATACTGCTTTTAGCTTATTAAAATCCCCAAATTTTTGTGTGTTACTGTTTGATTGCCTGTAATGCTCTTGACAGTTCTCACCCATAGCTCTGGTAAAACTGGTGATGGGATGTAGTGATGGGTAATCTGGTGTCTTCTTTGACTGTCATAGTAGGGCTGTAAATCAGACTATTTGCGATTAAGTTTTGGCCGATCTAATTTTCAAATGCAAATCAGAAAAAACCTATAAAATCGTAATACCAACACTATGACTGTTTTGTCTAGTGCTTGATTGTATTTTTCAATATGTATGTGTGTACATGTATAAACGTGTAAATATATATGTATATGAACATCATCTGGTTCCTAAATGAGATACTCGTTTACAATGTATATCCCAGTTGAATGTTTAATTTGTTTAGGTGTATGTAACTATTAGCTTTAAAGCACACCCAGAAAAAAATAGAAACTTGAATTTAAATTGTCTTTTGAATTTAGTACATAATTCCTTTTGCATACAACAAATTTAGAGTTTATGTCTAAAATTTAACTTTTGTACCTTTCAATAGGCAGACCTAATTTAATTTTAAATAAAAGTAAGCAATATGACATATGAATTGACCAGAAGCCTGTAAACCATTTATTCCCCCATAAAAGGAGCATAAAAATTTGCTTTAACTTTCTTAGGGACATTGTGAATATCTGTTGTTTGATTTTGGAGTTAGATACCACATCTATAAATCCAAGGCAGTCTTGCAATTTAAATTATTTATACTCTTCTTTCAAATTACCACCTCATGTGCAACTTCCTTTTTTCACAGAAGTCCAGGGACCACTAATACTAAGATGCAGTGTGCAAAGCTAGGCCATAGGAATCCTATGGGTTTAGACCCCTAGAGTGAAATGAAATGCTGGAATACCTTAGAGGAGTCTGCATAGTTCTGTAGTGTGAGTGGTTAACCTTGGTCTCTGGACACCAGCTTTGTTGTCACTTAAAAAAATCATCATCTGGCAAAGATGGTGAAACCCCATCTGTACTAAAATTAGCTGGGCGTGGTGTGCCTATAGTCCCACCTACTTGGGAGGCTGAGGCAGGAGAATCCCTTAAACCTGGGAGGCTGAGGTTGCAGTGAGCCGAGATTGCGCAACTGCACTCCAGCCTGGTGACAGAGCGACACTCCATCTGAAAAAAAAAAATTCAGGTATTGAACCAGATGATTATAAGGTGTGTGATTACATGACTAGGTGAGTGGGATACATATGCTAGACTTCAGCTTCTAGTCTTCTCTTCCTGTGATATGCCTTTTCTTGCTCTGTATGAAAGTTTTCATTTTGATTTTCTAATTTCTAAACTTTCTGAAAGTATATCAGTTAAAATAAATTTGGTTAACAAACTTCATTTAAAAGTGAAAATGCCTACAGGTAAATTAAAGGGGTATTATCAGTTATGCTGCCATAATTTAGAGTGAATTGGTTTAAAAAGTTTTCATGGAGCTGATAAAAGCTTTGATTTTTGAGAGGCTGTAGAAGCAAGTAATTTTATAATAAAGCGAATTTTGAAGATCTAAAGGGTTTTACAGAGTTGAAGTCTTACAGCTGCTTGAGGGCATTTGAAAGCAGAGGAACATGTTCAAAAAGATGAGAGGATAAAACAAGATTTTCTTGCCTGAAATTTTGTTAAGGCTCACTTAGTAAATCAAGCTCTCTTAGGAGAGATATGTTTTAAAGAGACAACTGGCCTTGTGGAAGGGACATATGTTTAGTAGTCTAAGCTGGTTGTTTTAATGTTCACAAGAATTGTGGAAGTTGTATGTGTACAATGTTGATTCATAAGACGATGGAAATATTAAAATCTCTAAGACTAACTACATTTTATGGGTCTTCTAGCTTTTATGTACTACTTACAACTACTGTCCTCTACCCTAAGTAGGTATTTGGATTTCCACTGTTATAGAGTCATATCTTTTCAGAATTATTTCCTACCCCAAATTAGAGAAATACAGTATAGTGTTGTTTATGAACAAAAGTCTCTGTAGATAGTCACTTAGCTTTTTTATATTGGAGCCACAATATCATATTTTGGAGTCCCCAAAAAGTTGTTAAAAAAGGCTCAGTATATGTAGATTGGATTGGGGTGGTAGAGGTAGAGCTTTATTGGGGGTAATTGATACATTTCAGCCAACGTTATTGTAAATGGACAAGTTTCAGCTTTGAGGATGAAACTGTTATATAAGGAAGGTTATGATTGACATAGGTATGGTGTGAGATGAATTACATTTTGTACTGTACTGGGGGCTCAGAATTCCTTTAATATACTGTCTAACTTAATATGAAAGTCTGTATATGTGAATATCAAAATGATACCTTAGAATGTAGCCATTCTAAATTAGATGTATAGTCATATCCCATTTTTCAGGTCACTGACTTTAAACATTTAAATTGCCTTCAGAAGTATTTTTGAGCACCAACTGTAAAAGATAGATGTGTATAAAAGGGATGAAGAGACATGTTATATGTAAACTGTGTCAAGATGTTAGTGTGTTAATATGATAAATGAAAATCTTGTGAGTTATCACTGTTATAGGAGGCTAATAAAAAGCTGAAATGGGCAAATAATTACTAGGCTTTTGAAATAAATTCTATGTCTTTTAGTAATCCTGAGCAAAAACTTAGTTCCCATTGGTATATGCTAATCATGGGAAAAACAATGAGATGTCAAAAGAACCAAGCTTTGGATCAGGTATATGATTAACTGTGTGACCTCAGGAAGGCCATTTTTTGTATCTGTACTTTCCCAGCATTCCCATCTGTCACCCTTTTAACTCTGTTGTATTACTTACTGCCTCCAGAGACATCTTTTTAAATTCACTGCTCTGAAGTCTTCTAGGGTTCACTGTTGATTAAGGAAGTTCAAACTCCTTAGTTTGATATAAGAGACACTCCCTTCTTGGAATACTGTCTTGCCTCATCTCTCTGCCTGTGAGAATATTATCCATCCTTTAACTGCTGTTGAAATCCTTTGTGAGTCATTCTTTACCTACCATAACGATAAGTGTTCATTTTTCTGATGATCTCCTGCCTCCCTGATACTGCCAGCTTTGTTGTGAGGTATAATTGACAAATAAAAATTGTATATATATAAGGAGTGCCGTGTGATACTTGGATCTACTCTGTGAATTGATAACCACAGTCAGGCTACTTAACAGATCCACCATCTCACACAATTACCTCTTTTTTTGTATGTGGGATGAGAACGATTAAGACCTACTCTTAGCAAATTTCAAGTATACAATATGTGCTAATCATGGAAATAAATATCGTTATTAATGATAGTTACTGTGCTGTATATTAGGTCCCCAGAACGTATTCATCTTATACCTGAAAATTTGAACCTTTGACCAAAATACTCCCATTTTACCCACCTCACAGCCCCTGGCAATCACTGTTCTACTTTCTATGAGTTTGACATCTTTATATTCCATATGTGAGATCATGCAGTTGTTTTGTGTCTTGTTTACTTAGTATAATGTCCTTAAGGTTCATCCATGTTGTTGCAGATGGCAGGATTTCCTTGTTTTCTAAAGGCTGGATAGTATTTCATGTGTGTATGTATATGTGTATTACATTTTCTTTATCCATTCATCTATTGACTCTTAGGTTGTTTCCATATCTTGATTACTTTGAATAATGCTGCAATGAATAAGAGTGCAGATAACCTCTTTGTGACACTGATTTCAATTTTTTTGCATATATACCTAGAAGTGGGATTGCTGGATCGTATGATAGTCCTGTTTTTAGTTTGAGGAACCTGTTTTCCATAATGACTTACCTTTTTGCAGTTCCATCAACATTGTACAGGGAGGAGATCCCTTTTCTTGACATCTTTGCCAACACCTGTTATGATTTTACTTTTTGATATTAGATATCCTAACAGGTGTGAGATGATACCTTATGGTTTTGATTTGCATCTCCCTGCTGATAAGCATATCAATCACCTATTGGCCATTGGTTGTTTTTTGGGAAAACATCTCTTCAGATCTTCTTGCCCATTCTTTAATTAAGTTTCTTGTTTTTGTTTTTTTGCTATTGAGTTGTATGAGTTCCTTACATATCTTGGATATTAGCTGCCTTTCAGATGTATGGTTTGCAAGTATTTTCTCCTAGTCCATAAGTTACTTTTTTATCTTGATTGTTTACTGTACAGTAACTTAACTTCATGTAACCCTTCTTGTTTATTTTTGCTTTTGTCACCTGTGCTTTTGATGTCATCTAAAATACCATCATCAAAATGGATGTCAGGGTGGTTTCCCCCTGTTTTCTTCTAGGATTTTTATGGTTTCATGTTTACATTTAAGTCTTTGATCCTTCTTCTTGTTTTAATTTTTGTGGGTACATAATAGCTCTGTGTATTTATGGGGTATATGGTATATTTTGATACAGGACTCTAGTCACCCTTTGTGCTATCAAATACTAGATCTTATTCATCATTACTATTATTATTTTGGGACAGGGTCTCACTCTGTCATCCTGGAGTGCAGTGTCATGATCATGGCTCATTGCAGCCTTGACATCTTGGGCTCCAGCAATTCTCTCACCTTACCATCCTCACCATAAGTAGCTGGGACTATAGATGCATGCCACCATGCCTAGTTAATTTTTTGTAGAAATGGGGTCTTGCCATGTTGCCCAGGCTGGTCTCAGACACCTGTACACAAGTGATCTGCCCACCTCAGTCTCCTAAAGTGCTAGGATTACAAGCATGAGCCACCACAGTCAGTCCCTATTCATTCTTTCTGTTTTTTTTTTGTACCCTTTAACCATCCTCCCTTTCCCCTCCCCCTGTAATCCTTCTTGAGTTGATGGTGTAAGAAAAGGGTCCAGTTTCATTCTTTTACATATGGATATCCACTTTACCCAACACTATTTATGATATTGAAAAGTCAGTGTTGCAAGGTGTGTTTTTTCCATTCTTAGCACCTTGTGAAATATTAATTAACCATATGTGCGTGCATGGATTTATTTCTGGACTCCAGTCTGTTCCAGTGGTCTGTGGACCTCTTTTTCTGCCAGTATCATATTATTTTGATTACTATAGCTTTGTAATATACTTTGAAATCAGGTTAATATTGTTTGACTCTGTTTCACCACCCACATTTCATCTGGAATTGTAATCCTCATGTGTGGAGGGCAGGACCTTGTGGGAGGTGATTAGATCATAGGGGCAGTCTCCTCCATGCTGTTCTTTGATAGTAAGTTCTCACAAGAGCTGATGGTTTTATAAGTGTTTGACAGTTTATTCTACACGTGCTGTTTATCTCTTGCCTGCCACCATGTAACAAGTGCTGGGTTTTCCTTCTGCCATGATTGTAAGTTTCACCAGCCATTGTGGAACTGAGTCTATTAAATCTCTTTATAAATTACCAAATCTCAGGGCAGTTTGTTACAACAGTGTGAAAACGGACTAATACACAAATAATGTGACACTTCCAGTTTTGCTCTTCTTTCTCAAGATGGCTATTCATGGGTTATTGTGGTTCTGTATAAATTTTAGGATTGTTTCTCTATGTGAAAATGTCATTGGAAGTCTGATAGGGATTGCATTGAATCCAGAGATTGCTTTGTATAGTACAAACATTTAACAATATTAATTCTTCCAATCCATGAACATAAGATATCCAGCCATTTATGCGTATCTTCTTCAGTTTCTTTCATCAGTGTTTTATAGTGTTTGGTGTTGGTTAAATGTATTCTAAGTATTTAGTTTTTTTGATGCTACTATAACTAGTATTGTTTTCTTTTCCTTTTTTTTTTTTTTTTTAAGTTGAAGTCTCTCTCTTATCTCCCAGGCTGGAGTGCAGTGGCATGATCTCAGCTCACTGCAACCTCTGCCTCCCAGGTTCAAGTGATTCTCTTGCCTCAGCCTCCCAAGTAGCTGGGACTACAGGCACCTGTCACTACACCCAGCTAATTTTTTTTTTATTTTTAGTAGAGACAGGGTTACACCATGTTGGCCAGACTCGTAACCTCAGGTGATCTGCCCTCCTCGGCCTCCCAAAGTGCTGGGATTGCAGGCATGAGCCACTGTGCCTGGCCATGTTTTCTTTATTTTTTAGATAGTCATTGTTCTTGCGTAGAAACGCTACTTGTTTTTGTATATTGATTTTATACCTTGCAACTTTACTAAATTCATTTCTTAGTTCTAATTTTTTTTGGTGGTTTTTAGGGTTTTCTAAATATAAGATCATGTCATCTGCAGAGACAATTTTACTTTTTCCTTTAAACTACTGCTTTATATTATAAGCTTTACAGTTATGCTTTATTTCTCCAACTAGATTATAAGTTTCTGGAGGGCAGAAACTATCTTAATTTGTATTATCTATAGTACCTTGCACAAAGCGGATGTTTAATAAATATTTTTAACATTAATGAATTTAAGATATTTGTCCTATGTGTGGCGCAGCAATTATTAAGTTTTAATTTTTTGATTTTTGTGAGAACATAGTAGGTGTATATATTTATGAGTTTTTTGGCTTTTTGTTTTTTTGAGACAGAGTTTCCCTTCAGTTGTCCAAGTTGGAATGCAGTGGCACAATCTCAGCTCACTGCATCCTCTGCCTACCAGGCTCAAGCAACTCTCCTACTTCAAGGTCCCAAGTAGCTTGGACTACAGGTGTGCCCCACTGTACCTGGCTAATTTTATTTTTATTTTTATTTTTTATAGAGATGGGATTTCACCATATTGCCCAGACTGGTCTTGAACTCCTGAGCTCAAGTGATCCATCCACCTCAGACTCCCAAAGTGCTGGGATTACAGGTGTGAGCCACTGTGCCCAGCCATGGACTGTTTTGATACTAGCATGCAATTTGTAACAATCAATTCATGAAAATGGGGTATTCATCCCCTCAAGCATTTAACCTTTGTGTTACAAAACATCCATATGTACTTTTTAAAATATACAATTAAACTATTTGGACTGTAGTCACCCTGTTGTGATATCAAATACTGGGTCATACTCATTCTTTTATAATTTTTTGTCCCCATTAGCCATTCCCACCTCCCTTTTTATTCCCCCAGCTACCTTTCCCAGCTTCTGGTAACCATCTTTCTACTCTCTATCACCAAGAGTTCAATTGTTTTGAATTTTATATCCCACAAATAAGTGAGAATATGTGATGTTTTGTCTCTCTGTGCCTGGCTTATTGAACTTAGTATTATGACCTCTAGTTCCATTTATGTTGTTGTAAATGACCAGATCTCATTTTTTTTTAATAACTGAATAGTACTCCATTATGTGTAAGTGCCACATTTTCTGTATCCATTTATCTGTTAATGGACACTTCCAGTACTGTGTTGAATAACAGTAGTGAAGGTGGGCATCTTTGTCGTGTTCCTAACCTTAGAGGAAAGGCTTTCAGTTTTTTACATACTCAGTATGATACTAGCTATGAGTCTGTTGTATATGGCTTTTATTATGTTGAGATATGTTCCTTCTATACACAGTTTTTTGAGGATTTTTATCATGAAGGGATGTTGAATTTTATAAAATGCTTTTTCAGCATCAATTGTAATGCTCAGATGGTTTTTGTCCTTCATTCTGTTGATATGATGTATCATGATGATTGATTTGCATGTGTTGAACCATCATTGCATCCCTGGAATGAATCTCACTTGTTCATAATGAATGATCTTTTTAATATATTATTGAATCTCGTCAGCTTGTATTTTGTTGAGGATTTTAGCATCATTGTTCATCAGAAATATTGACCTGTAGTTTTCTTTATTGATGTGTCTTTGTCTGGTTTTGGTATCGGGGTAATTCTGGCCTCATAGAATGAGTTTGGAAGCACTCCCTCCTCCTCTCTTTTTCAGAACGGTTTCAGTAGGATTGATATTCTTTAAATGTTTGTTACAATTGAGCAGTAAAGCCACTGTTTCTTGGGCTTTTCTTTACTGGGAGACTTTTTATTACAAATTCAATCTCATTGTTGGTCTGTTCAGGTTTTGGATTTCTTCATGATTCAGTCTTGGTAGATTGTGTTTGCCTAGGGATTTATCTGTTTCCTGTAGATTTTCCAATTTGTTGGCATATAGTTGTTCAAGTTTTTGATGAGCCTTTGAATTTTTGTGGCATCAATTATAATGTCTCCTTTCTTTGATTTTATTTATTTGGAGTTTCTTAAGGTTTGTCTTTCTTAAGATTTGTCTTTTTCTTTCTTAAGGTTTTTCTTTAAGGTTTGTCAATTTTGTTGATCTTTTCTAAAAACCAACTTTTTGTTTCATTGATCTTTTGGATTATTTTCTTCATTTCAAGTTCATTTATTTCTACTCCATCTTTATTATTTCTATTACTAATTTTGGGTTGTTTGCTCTTGCTTTTCTAGTTGTTTAAGAGGCATCATTGGGTTATTTATTTGAAGTTTTTCTTCTTCTTTTCTGAGACAGAGTCTTACTTTATTCCCCAGGCTAGAGGGCAGTGATGCAGTCTCAGCTCACTGTAGCCTCAACCTCCCATGTTCATGTGACCCTCCCACCTCAGCCTCCCAAATAGCTGGGACTACAGTTGCATGCCACCATGCCCAGCTAATGTTTGTAGAGATGGGGTTTCACCATGTTGCCCAGGCTGGTCTCAGACTCCTGAGCTCAAGCTATCAGCCCACCTTGGCCTCCCAAAGTGCTGAGATTACAGGCACAAGCCACTGCACCCAGCCGTTTTTCTTCTTTTATGTTGTAGGTACTCATAGCTAGAAATTTCTTTCAGTACTTCTTTTACTGTATCCCAAAAGTTTTGGTATGTTGTGTTTCTATTATCATATGTTTCAATAAAGTTTTCAGTTTGCTTCTTACTTTCTGCACTGACCCATTGGTCATTCAGGAACATATTTTTAATTTCCAAGTGTTTGTGTGATTTCCAGAATTGTTCTTGTTGATTTCTAGTTTACTGTTATCAGAGAATATGCTTGATATTTTTTCATTTTTTAAAATGTTTTAAGATTTGTTTTGTGACCTATCGTATGATCTATCTTTAAATGATCCATGTGTTGAGGAAAAAATGTGTATTCTGCAGCCTTTGGATGAAATGTTCTATAAATATCTGTTAGGTCCATTTGTTCTATAGTGCAGATTAAGTCTGATGTTCCCTTGTGGAGTTTCTGTCTGGGAGCTGGGTCCAATGCTGAAAGTGGGATGTTGAAATCTACAGCTATTATTGTATTGAGGTCGGGCTTTCTCGTTAGCCCTAATATTTGCTTTATATATCTGGGTGTGTTGGGTGCATATATATGTATGATTATTATATCCTGTTGCTGGATTGAGTCTTTTATCAGTATATAATGACATTCTTTGTCTCACAATTTTTGTCTTGAAATCTATTTTGTCAGTTTTCATATAATTACTCCTTCTCTTTTGGTTTCCATTGGCATAGAAAATCTTTTTCATCCTCTTATTTTCAGTTTATGTGTACCTTTGAATGTGAGGTGTGTTTGGATCAGTGGGTCTTGTTTTTTCATCCATTCAACCACTCTGTGTCTTTTGATTGCAGAGTGTAGTCTATTTATATTCAATGCCATTATTGGTAAGCAGGGACTTATTCCAGCCATTTTAGTATATAGGTTTGGGTTGTTTTGTGGGCGCTCTTTACTTGCCATCTTCCTTTTAGTAAAGATGATTTTCTCTGGTGGTATGATTTAATTTCTTTTTGCATTTTGTGTATCTGTGTGTATTTTTTGATTTGTGGTTACTGTGAGGCTTGCAAAAGACTCTTACAACTCATTCTTTTAAACTCATGACAACTTAACACTAATTGTATAAGCAAACAGCAAAAATGTGCTTTTAAAAAAGTGTAATTAAAAGTCCAATTTAAACTCTACACTTTAACTTCCCTTGCTTTTTAATTTTTTGTTGTCTCTCTGTATGTCTTGTACTGTGTCTTGAAAAGTTATAGTTATTCTTTTTTGTTGGTTCATCACTTTTTCTATGTAAGAGTAGTTTAAACACTACAATAACACTCATAAAGAGACATGAAGAGGTTATTAATTTGAAGTTATAAAATAAGAGCGTAATTGTGTGTAAACTACTCTTATGTAGAAAGAGTTATAGACTTCTGTGTTTTTCTGAGTGCTTACTACCAGTGAGTTGTAACTTCAGATGATTTCTCCTTGGTCATTAAATACCCTTTTCTTTTAGATTGAACAACTCCCTTTAGCATTTCTTATAGGGCAGATCCAGTGTTGATGAAATATCTCAGCTTTTTTCATCTGGGAAGGTCTTTATTTCTCCTTCATGCTTGAAGGCTATTTTCATTGGATATACTGTTTTAGGGTAAATGCTTTTATTTGTACGTTTGTTTCATCAGTACTTTAAGCATACTGTGCCACTCTCTCCTGGCCTATATGGTTTTTACTGAAAAGTCTGTTGCCAGACATGTTGGAGCTCTATTGCATGTTATTTGTTTCTTTTGCTGTTTTTAGGACCCTTTCTTTATCCTTGACCTTTGAAAATTTGATTATAGATGCTGTAAGATAGTCTTCTTTAGGTTAAAGATTATAACAAACAACTATGAACATAAACCTGGAAGAAATGGATAAATTCCTGGACATTTGCATCCTCCCAAGCCTAAACCAGGAAGAAGTTGAAACCCTGAATAGACCAATAACAAGGGCTGAAGTTGAGACAGCAATTAATAGCCTACCAACCAAAAAAAGCTCAGGTCCGGATGCGTTCATACCCGAATTCTATCAGACATACAAAGAGGAGCTGGTACCACTCCTTCTGAAACTATTCCAAACAATCCAAAAAGAGGGAATCCTTCCCAAATCATTTTATGAGACCAACATCATCCTGATACCAAACCCCAGCAGAGACTCAACAAGAAAAGAAAACTTCAGGCCAATATCCATGATGAACATAGATGCAAAAATCTTCAATAAAATACTGGCAAACCGATTGCAACAGCACATCAAAAGCTTATCCATCATGTTCAAGTAGGCTTCATCCTGGGGATGCAAGGCTGGTTCAACATACACAAGTCTATAAGCGTAATTCACCACGTAAACAGAACCAAAGACAAAAACCACATGATTATCTCAATAGATGCAAAGAAGACCTTTGACAAAATTCAACAGCCCTTAATGCTAAAAATTCTGAATAAACTAGGTATTGATGGAACTTATCTCAAAATAATAAAAGCAAATTATGACAAACCCACAACCAATATCATACTGAATGGGCAAAAACTGGAAGAATTCCCTTTGAAATCTGGCACTAGACAAAGATGCCCTCTGTTACCACTCCTATTCAATATACTGTTGGAAGTTCTAGCCAGCACAATTAGGCAAGAAAAAGCAATAAAGGGTATTCAGTTAGGAAAGGAGGAAATCAAATTGTCTCTATTTGCAGACGACATGATTGTGTATTTAGAAGTCCGCATCATCTAAACCCCAAATCTCCTGAAACTGGTAAGCAACTTCAGCAAAGTCTCATGATACAAAATCAATGTGCAAAAATCACAAGCATTCCTATACACAGTAACAGTCTTAAAGAGAGCCAAATCAAAAACGAACTGCCATTCACAATTCCTACAAAGAGAATAAAATACCTGGGAATACAACTAACAAAGGATGTAAAGGACCTCTTCAAGGAGAACCACAAGCTCAAGGAAATAAGAGAGGACACAAACAGATGGAGAAACATTCCATGCTCATGGTTAGGAAGAATCAATATCGTGAAAATGGCCATACTGCCCAAAGTAATTTGCAGATTCAATGCTATCCCCATCAAGCTACCAATGACCTTCTTCACAGAACTGGAAAAAACCACCTTAAACTTCATATGGAACCAAAAGAGAGCCCGCATAGCCAAGTCAATTCTAAGCAAAAAGGACAAAGCTAGAGGCATCACACTAACTGACTTCAAATTATACTACAAGGCTACACTAATCAAAACAGCATGGTACTGGTGCCAAAACAGAGATATAGACCAGTGGAGCAGAACAGAAGCCTCGGAGGCAACGTCACACATCTACAACCATCTGATCTTTGACAAACCTGACAAAAACAAGCAATGGGGAAAGGATTCCCTGTTTAAGAAATGGTTTTGGGAAAATTGACTAGCAGCATGCAGAAAGCAGAAACTGGACCCCTTCCCGACACCTTACACTAAAACTAACCTCAAATGGATTAAAGACTTAAACATAAGACCTAACGCTATAAAAACCCTAGAAGAAAACCTAGGCAAAACCATTCAGGACATAGGCATAGGCAAGGACTTCATGATTAAAACACCAAAAGCATTGGCAACAAAAGCCAAAATAGACAAGTGGGATCTCATTAAACTCCAGAGCTTCTGCACAGCAAAAGAAACAATCATTAGAGTGAACCCGCAACCAACAGAATGGGAAAAAATTTTTTGCAATCTACCCATCTGACAAAGGGCTAATATCCAGAATCTACAAAGAACTAAAACAGGTTTACAAGAAAAAAAACAAGTCCATTCAAAAGTAGGTGAAGGATATGAACACTTTACAAAAGAAGACATATATGAAGCCAAGAAACATATGAAAAAATGCTCATCATTACTAATCATTAGAGAAATGCAAATCAAAACTACATTGAGATACCACCTCATGCCAATTAGAATGGCGGTCATTAAAAAAATCTGGAGACAACAGATGCTGGAGAGGATGTGGAGAAATAGAAACAGTCTAACACTGTAAGTGGGACTGTAAATTAGTTCAACCATTGTGGAAGACAGTGTGACGATTCCTCAAGGACCTAGAAATAGAAATTCCATTTGACCCAGCAATCCCATTACTGGGTATATAGCCAAAGGATTATAAATCGTTCTATTATAAGGACACATGCACACTAATGTTCATTGCAGCACTGTTTACAATAGCAAAGACCCGGAAGCAACCCAAATGCCCGTCAGTGATAGACTGGACAGTGAAAATGTGGGACATATACACCATGGAATACTATGCAGGCATGAAAAAACGATGAGTTCGTGTCCTCTGTAGGGATGTGGTTAACCTGGAAACCACCATTCTCAGCAAACTGACACAAGAACAGAAAATCAAACACTGCGTGTTCTCACTCGTAGGTGAGTGTCGAACAATGAGAACACATGGACACAGGGAGGGGAACATCACACACTGGGGTCTGGTGGGGGGATCCAGGGGAGGGACAGTGGTGGGTGGGGAGTTGGGGAGGGATAACATGAGGAGAAATGCCAGATATAGGTGATGAGGAGGAAGGCAGCAAACTACATTGCCATATATGTACCTGTGCAACATCTTGCATGTTCTTCACATGTACCCCAAAACCTAAAACACAATAAAATATATTTAAAACAAACAAATAAAAAAACCAAAGGGGAAAAAAAAACAGTGATCTGATCTTGGTTCACTGCAGTCTCAAACTCCTGGGCTTAAGTGATCCTTCCATGCCAGCCTCCCTAGTAGCTAGGACTACAGGTGCACAACACCTGCTTTTCTTGTTTTAATTTTTTTTTTTTTTTCTGTAGAGACAGAGACAGGGTCTCCATAACTTGCCTGGCTGGTCTTCAACTCCCATCCTCAAGCTGTCCTCCCAAAGTGTTGGGGTTACAGGTGTGAGTCATGATGCCCAGATCATTTTTTTTAAAGTGGAGTATTTCTCTTATTACTGAGTTGTAAGAGTTCTTTATATATCCTTGATACCCATTGGTTAGCAGAAATTGTAAAGTTCTGCAATGTTAAGTCCATTCACACTATCGTGTAACCATTACCACCATCAGTATCCAGAACTTTTGTTTTCATTTTCCCAAACTGAAACTTCATACCCCATAACGATAATTCCTGGTTTTCTCATCCCGTTAGACCCTGGAAACTACCATTGTATTTTCCATCTTTATGAAATTTGATTAGTGTATGTACGACAGACAAGTGCAACCACACAATATTTGTCTTCTTGTGATTCACTTACTGCACTCAGCTTGTCTTAAGTGTTTTCCATGCTATAGCATGTACCAAAATTTCCTTCCTTTCTAAACCTGAATGATATTCTATTGTATATGTACATACTACGTTTTGTTTTATTCATTCATCTGTTGACACATGGGTTGCTTTTACCTCTTGGATATTGTGAATAATTCTGGTGTGAACATGGCATACAAATATCCAGATTCCTGCTTTAATTCTTTTGGGTACCTACCCAGAAGTACACTTGCTGTTTCATTTGGTAATTGTGTGTTTTTTTGTTTTGATTTTTGAGAAATTTTGCTTTCTTTTCAACTTTAAGAAATTACCATATACTCTGTTTTCACAATAATACATAATTTTACATTCTTACCAGCGGTACGCAGTGGCTCCAGTTTCTTTACATCCTTGTCAGTACCTTGTTTCCTGTTGTTTTGATGATTGCCATTCCAGTGAGTCCAAAATGGTATCCAATGGTTTTGGTTTGCATTTCCCTAATGACTATTAATGTCGAGCATCTTTTATGTACTTGTAAGCCATTTGTATATCTTCTTTGAAGGAGTATCTGTTAAAGTTCTTTGCCTGTTGTTTTTATTGGGTTACTTTTTGTAATTTGTTTTTGTGTTTATTGTAATTCTTTACATAGTCTGGGTATTATCCTTTATCAGATAAGTGATTTTTAAATACAGTTATGCTCCACATAATGGCATTTTGAGATGTGTCTGTCAATAGACTGCATTATGTGATGGTGGTCTTTTAAAGTTCTAATGGAGCTGAAAATTCTTCTTGTCTGGTGGCAACAGAAATTTTACATAGTGCAATGCATTATTTTTTCTGTGTTTAGATGTATTTAGATATACAAATATTTACCACTGTGGCACAATTACATGTAGTCAGTACAGTCATATGCTGTACAGGCTTGTATTCTAAGAACAGTAGAGTATACCATATAGCCAAAGTGTGTAGTAGACTATAACAACTAGGATTGTGTAAGTACGCTCTGTATGTTCAGATGAAGACAAAATTGCCTGATGATGCATTTCTTGGAAGTTCTCTACTCTTGTTAAAGTGACACTTGACTGTATTTTCTTCCATTTCAAGGATTACATTTTTACTCTCTTGGTAGTGGCCATTAATGTACAAAATTTTCAGTTTTGTCGTAGTCTGTCTTACCTATTTTTCCTTTTTGTTGCCTGTGCTTTCAGTATCACATCCAAGAAATTGTTTTCAGATCCAAAGTTACGAAGTTTTTGCTTTGTGCTTTCTTCTAAGAGTCTTATAGGGTGAGGTCTTTTGTTTAGGGTTTTGATGATTTTGAGACAATTTTTGTATATGGGATAAGATAAGGGCCTAACTTTATATTTTTACCCAAAAATATCCAGTTTTTCCAGTGCTGTTTGTTGAAAAGACTTTCTTTCCTTTTCACCTTTGAATGGTCTAGGCAGCCTGTGGAAAATACTTGACTGTGTATGCAATAGTGTATTTCTAGACTCTGTGTTTTATTCTGTTGGTCTGTATGTGTATCTTTGTGCCAGTACAACAGTAGTTTGATTGCTGCAGCCTTGTAGTAAGTTTTGATGTCAGGAAATGCGAGACATCCCACTTTGTCATTTTCTTTTTTTTTTTTTTCCCCATTTATTTATTTTATTGCATTTTAGGTTTTGGGGTACATGTGAAGAACATGCAAAATTGTTGCATAGGAACACACGTGGCAGTGTGATTTGCTGCCTTCCTCCCCATCACCTACATCTGGCATTTCTCCCCTTGCTATCTCTCCCCAGCTTCCCACCCCCCACCGTCCCTCCCCTATTTCCCCCCAACTGACCCCAGTGTGTAGTGCTCCCCTCCCTGTGTCCATGTGTTCTCATTGTTCAACACCCACCTATGAGTGAGAACATGCGGTGTTTGATCTTCTGCTCTTCTGTCAGTTTGCTGAGAATGATGGTTTCCAGGTTCATCCATGTCCCTACAAAGGACCCAAACTCATCGTTTTTGATGGCTGCATAATATTCCATGGTGTATATGTGCCACATTTTCCCTATCCAGTCTATCGTCGATGGGCATTTGGGTTGGTTCCAGGTCTTTGCTATTGTAAACAGTGCTGCAATGAACATTCGTGTACACGTGTCCTTATAGTAGAATGATTTGTAATCCTTTGGATATTTACCCTGTAATGGGATTGCTGGGTCAAATGGAATTTCTATTTCTAGGTCCTTGAGGAATCGCCACACTGTCTTCCACAATGGTTGAACTAATTTACACTCCCACCAACAGTGCAAAAGTGTTCCTATTTCTCCACATCCTCTCCAGCATCTGTTGTCTCCAGATTTTTTAATGTTCACCATTCTTACCGGCATGAGATGGTATCTCAATGTAGTTTTGATTTGCATTTCTCTGATGACCAGTGATGATGAGCATTTTTTCATATGTTTGTTGGCCTCACGTATGTCTTCTTTTGTAAAGTGTCTGTTCATATCCTTTGCCGACTTTTGAATGGGCTTGTTAGTTTTTTTCTTGTAAATCTGCTTTAGTTCTTTGTAAATTTTGGATATCAGCCCTTTGTCAGATGGGTAAACTGCAAAAATTTTTTCCCAATCTGTTGGTTGCCGATTCACTCTAATGATTGTTTCTTTTGCTGTGCAGAAGCTATGGAGTTTGATTAGGTCCCATTTGTCTATTTTGGCTTTTGTTGTCAATGCTTTTGGTGTTTTGGTCATGAAGTCCTTGCCTACACCTACGTCCTGAATGGTTTTGCCTAGATTTTCTTCTAGGGTTTTCATGGTGTTAGGTCTTATGTTTAAGTCTTTAATCCATCTGGAGTTAATTTTAGTGTAAGGTGTCAGGAAGGGGTCCAGTTTCTGCTTTCTGCACATGGCTAGCCAGCTTTCCCAACACCATTTATTGAACAGGGAATCCTTTCCCCATTGCTTGTTTTTGTCTGGTTTGTCAAAGATCAGATGGTTGTAGATATGTTGTGTTGCCTCCGAGACCTCTGTTCTGTTCCACTGGTCTATATCTCTGTTTTGGTACCAGTACCATGCTGTTTTGATTACTGTAGCCTTGTAGTATAGTTTGAAGTCTGGTAGTGTGATGCCCCCCGCTTTGTTCTTTTTGCTTAGAATTGACTTGGCTATGCGGGCTCTCTTTTGGTTCCATATGAAGTTTAAGGTGGTTTTTTCCAGTTCTGCAAAGAAGGTCATTGGTAGCTTGATGGGGATAGCATTGAATCTGTAAATTACTTTGGGCAGTATGGCCATTTTCACAATATTGATTCTTCCTAACCATGAACATGGAATGTTTCTCCATCTGTTTGTGTCCTCTCTTATTTCGTTGAGCAGTGGCTTGTAGTTCTCCTTGAAGAGGGCCTTTACATTCCTTGTTAGTTGTATTCCTAGGTATTTTATTCTCTTTGTGGCAATTGTGAATGGAAGTTTGTTCTTGATTTGGCTCTCTTTAAGTCTGTTATTGGTGTATAGGAATGCATGTGATTTTTGCACATTGATTTTGTATCCTGAGACTTTGCTGAACTTGCTTATCAGTTTCAGGAGGTTTGGGGCTGAGACGATGGGGTC